CGGAAAGTACCCTTATTGTTCTTGCGCCCAATTCGTGGGAGGCAGTCATTCCCGCCAAGATGGCCTCGTACTCGGCCGCGTTATTCGTCTTCAACGCTCTGAATCTGATTGCTATCTCGTGAACGGCGCCTGTGGGTGTGCGCACGACGACCCTCGCGCCAGCACCATGTTTACTTGCCGCTCCGTCGACATAAACCTCCCATACCCCCTCTGGTGTTGTTTCGAGGGTGACTCCTTCAGCGATGAAATCTGCTAGGATTTGGGCTTTTGTTGCTGGTCTCGGCGCATATTGGATATCGTACTCTGAGAGATCGACCGCCCATTTCACCATGCGCCCCGACACTTCCATCGAAGTTAAGATTTTCTTTAGCGGGAGGTTGGTCAGGACAGTGATCTGGTGCACTTGGAAATAGGGACGCAACTTCTGCGACGCCCTTACCAATGCCAGGACAACTTTCTCTATTGGGGAGTATCTTGTTTCCGCGCAGACTAGCGTACGCGAAGTATAATACACAGGTTGCTCGGTATTATCATTTCTTCTGGATATCAGGACTGCGCTCACAGCTCTCGTCGACACGGCCAGATAAAGGAATAATTTTTCATTAAGCTTGGGAGCTGTCAATACAGGAGGGGATACAAGATACGCTTTCAGCTCTTGGAATGCTGCTTCACATTCCTTGGTCCATGCAAACTTTGTGCCGCTTTTAAGTGTTTTGAAGAAGGGCGCGCACTTGTCGGCTGACCTTGGTATGAATCTCCCCAGCGCTGCTATTTTGCCATTCAGGGATTGGATTTTCAATGCGCTCCTCGGTGCCCGTAGTTGTTGGACCGCCGTGATTTGTTTTGGGTCGACCTCGATGCCACGCTTGGTTATCATGAACCCAAGAAACTTCCCTGCTTCTGCTCCAAAAACACACTTCAGTGGGTTCAAGCGGAGGCTGTGTTTGCGGAGCGCCTCGAATGTCTCTCGCTGGTCCTCCAGATGCGAGTTGCCGGCCTTGGTTTTGAAGATGAGGTCATCCACATAAGCCTCGATGTTCCGCCCCCTCTATTGTGAGAACACTGCGTCGATCATCCTTTGGTATGTCTCGCCCGCGTTCTTCAGTCCGAACGGCATTCCGACGAAATAGAAGTTTCCGAAGGGAGTCATGAACGCCGTTTTTTCCTCATCTTCGCGCGACATTGGGATTTGGTGGTATCCTGAGAACATGTCCAAAAAAGACAGTGTCTCGTGGTCGGCAGTGGCGTCGATCAGTTGGTCAATGCGCGGCAAGGGGTAAGGGTCTCCCGGGCATGCTTTGTTAATTGTTGTGTAGTCGACGCACATCCGCCAAGCCCCTGAAGACTTTTTCACCAGGACCACGTTCGCCAACCACTTCGGGTATTTGACCGGGCGGATCAACCCTGCCGCCAACAGTCGCGCCACCTCCTCTTCGATGGCCTTCAGTTTGTCGCCAGTGAAGCTGCGTCACGCTTGTTGCCTCGGAGGCGCGCTAGGCGGGACTGCGAGGCAATGTTGGGCTACATGCCTTGGTACCCCCGGCATGTCTTCTGTGCACCAAGCAAATAGCTCCTTGTATTCCTTCAGTAGCGCTATCAACGGCTCAATCGCGTCGTTGCGGATGTGAGTCGAGATGCGTATTTTTCTAGTCGGCTCGGTTGGGTCGAGCGCGACCTCAAAATCGGAATCCATCGATTCCGGGCGGGGTTCTTCTGGCCTTGTGTCGACAATGTTGGTTTGCCGGGCTTCTCCTTCTAGCTTTGGGGCTCCCCATGGCGTCCCGCGCGCCTCTTCGGTTCCCATCTTAGTGGGGAACTTAAGCTTCTGGTGGCATGTGGATGGAAGGGCCATGAATTTTGCTAGGAAGGGTCGGCCCAAGATGCCGTTGTGGGACGATTTGCAGTCGACTATTGTGAACTCGACTTGCTTTGAGACGCGCGGTTCTTGGTCTCCGATAACAACAGGAAGAGTTACCACACCAATTACTTTAACCCTCGTTCCAGAGAAGCCGACCAAGTTCCCTTGGGCGCGCTTGATTAAGCGCGGGTCGATGTCCATTTTGTCGATAGTGCTTTGGAAGAGGATGTCTGCCGCGACACCTCCATCTATCAGTAGGTGGTGTATTTTGTAGGCGGCCACTAGAGCGGTGATGATGAGTGGGTCTTCTGACGGAATTCCTTACGGTAATTCGGTGTCGTCGAAGCTTAGTTGGCCCCCTGTTTGTACATCCATCGCTGCGAATTCGATCGCGCGTTCGCGCTTGGTTTTCTTTTTCGGACGATCTCCTTCCACTGCCACCACCCCTATTTATTTTCGCACTACATACGCTCCAGCGGCTTCGTTGTAGTCGGCTTGTGGGGGTGGTGGCGGGTTTTGAGGCCCCCCTACTTGTTCCTCTTTTTCGTGTGTGAACTCGGCCAGCAATCCTCGTCGTATGAGGCCTTCTATTTCGTAACGTAGTTCTCGACAATCTTCCGTCCAGTGCCCCGTTGCTCTATGGAAGTCGCAATGCTTTTTTGGGTCACGCATGTGGGGTAAGGACTTCAAAGGCGCGGGCCAATTGAGCTTGTAGCCCTTCTCGCGGAGAACGTGGAACACGTTCTTCACGGAGTCGTTAAGCGGTGTGAAGGCGTGGGATGCGCGCCTGTCTGGCGATCTTCCTCGCTGAGCTTGTTCTTGTGGGGGAGGGGGATGGCGCTTTTGCCCACTGTGTAGTTGCGCCAATTGGTCTCGCGGCAGCGTGAGCTGCCGACGTCCCTGTTCCTCTCGCGGCAACTTGGCTGGCTCGAAGCGCCTAACATATCCCGCTGCGAGGGTTTCTTCCAGCGTAATTGCCTTCTCAATCTTCATCTCCAACTCTGTCGATAGAGTTACGGGCCTTTTTGCTAGCGCCCGCTTGAGTTCCATGTTGGTGGTGGCTTCCATAAGGTGATGGGCGGCGGTTTCGGGGGTAAGGTCGCGCACTGCCATCGCCACCCTGGACCATCTGGCGTAAAATGATCGCAGGCTTTCCCCATCCTTTTGCCTGATGTCTATCAGCGCCTTGAGGTGGAGAGGCCTTCTCTTTTGGGATGCGAACTTCATCGTGAATAGGAGTATGAACTCCTCAAATGAGCGGATGATCCCGTTCGGGAGCCTATTATACCAATCGAGGCATATTCCGGAGAATGTTGATGGGAAGGTTCGGCATAGTGCCGCGTTGGAGTTGGTTTGGAGTTTCATCCGCAGGCAGAAGGTGCTCACATGGTCTTCGGGATCAGTCGTCCCGTTGTATGTTGGGAGGGCGGGTGGCATTCCACTCAGGTGTTCCGCCATGATTTCTGCGCTTAGCGGCTGGTGGAGCGCCCTCTTGGGTGGGTTGGGCCGGTATTGCGGAGACAAGTGTTGCTCATCATGAGCGCTATGACCTGGCTCATTTGCTTTTGCATATCGGCTATGACGTTGTTCTGCTTTGCCATTAGCTGCCTCATTTCTCCGGCGGTCATCTCGGGTTCTTCTTCTTCGATAAGCACCGCGTTGAGGTTGCTGGTTTCTGCGAACGTCCTTGGGTCGGTCATTGCTTTGATGGGTGTCGCTTCATCTGGTAAGTTGGGATTGTGTTTAGCCATTGGTTGTTTTCTTTTGCTTCTCTACTTGGCCCCACGGTGGGCGCCAATTGTTTGAGCCTAACTGGGTGTAGGAGTGAGACTCGAGAAGATGGGGCAAGGAGAGCAAGCAATGGGAGAATAACTGTCGTTGGAAGAACTGAAGAAATTATGATTAGAGTTGAGAGGGAAAATCTTTAGAGAGAGAAGTTGATAATTCTAGAGATAGAGCCAGAAAAATCCGATCCTCTCACCCACCAGAGTAAATGCCATATTTATAGGCTACATAGTGGTGGGTGAGTGGTTGAGTTACATGTGGGTACGATGACATGACCACTGACATGTCAGGGATTTAGGCCATGCTTATACCTAGGATCTGTCAGAGGCTTACCTATGACTGTGCTTAGGAACCTGAGGTGACTACCCCTCGGGAAGCGAGACGACGCTTTCTGCGGCTCTTTGGTCTGGTCAACGCCTTGATCCTTCCACGTGCACGTAGCTTGTGTCGCGCTCGAGATCTTCGCGCTAGTCTGCCTTCACAGTGTCGCGCTCGAGGCCTTCGCGCTGAACTGCGCTTGGGGCCTCGGTCGCGTCGCGTCCTGCAGGGTTTGGCGTTATTTGGGGTAGTGTCGGTGCATTCCTCTAGCGCGGCTAGGTCCGAGTCACATGCCTAACAACACTCAATTATTATTTATAATTAGTAAAAAGAAAAAATTTGGTAATTAGACAATATACAAAAGATGGTAGCAGTAGGCTTCCCATGCCTACGGTTTCCTTAAATAATTAACCCATCCCTAATCGATCGAAATGTGTCACTGGTTGGTACATATCGAATCATATTGGACCAAACCGACTCTTGAACCGAACCACAGCGAATCAAAAATATTGTGATCCGATCCTTAGTCTTATAAATTTTATAAATACTGAAGAAAGTTAATTGAATTAACTTTTGGATCGGACCAAACCAGACAAAATCGAATGAAATACACTGTTGATCTGATCTTTGATCCTAAGATGCCTTGCACTATTGAATAGCAATTTTCTGATAAATCTACATATTAAAAGAATAAAAAATCAAATGATACAATTAACAGAAACTAAAGAAAGTGAGATTTAAATAAAAAAGTAAGAATTATCTTTGAAAATTTCTCTCTATTGAACCTTTGTTAATCAAGATATCGAAAGAATTTTTTTCTTTAAGATTAGTATTTGGAAATTGGAATTTGATCATAGCATAATAGAACCCGAAATCGAGATTAAGATGTAGAAATTTAGGCTTTCATAATTGTATAATAGAGCCCAAAATCCTACAACACCATTTGACTATATGAGTGAAAAAAGGATTATAAATGCTAGAAGTAGGGATTGAACCCACGTTCTCCAGAATATAAATAGTACATCATTACCAATATGACCCCGGGCCCCAATCCCCAACGTGTCTCTGTGTCCCTGCCCAAAATCTATTATTAATTTATTATAAAAAATTGACCAATGAGATAGAGAGTTTAGGTAACAGTAACAAAACTTCAGCTTTATATATATTAATTTCATTGTAAAAAAAACTTATATTCTATTAATATCTATTTGTTTAAAGCTGAACGAGAAGAGAAGACAAGTGTATGATATGATCACAATATCAGATCTCAGCTTTCATTACTTTTTCTTAGGGTAAACTGCAAGTTTGGTCACTATGTTTACCAAAAATGGTTCACGTTTGGTGACTACTAATATTTAATTTCATTCGTGGTCACTAAGATTAGTTCAACAGTTCAAGTTTGATCACTCTCCATTAGTCTTCGTTAACTTTTATTGATGTGACGGTCAATCTTCATTATTGACTAGGGGTGGAAATTGGGGTGGGTGTGGTTACCCGCCCCACATTTTGCGGGTAACCACACCCACAAATGTAGAATTATGCTATCCACAACCCGCCCCGCAGTGGGTAGTGGATAACCACAACCCGCTGCGGGATGGTGCGGGTTGGTTGTGGATACCCACAAAAAATTCACATTAAATATAATAATATGGTAATTAAATAGTGATGATGTATTTCTTCTCATACACAAACAAAAACATACATAATAGAAAGTTAATAAAGTGTTAAATAAATTATAAATCTCGAATACAATAGGTTTGTTAGTGTATAAATCTCGAATACAATTAGAAAGAGATTTGAAGATAACGCAGGCAGAGTGACCTGTTACCAGAAAAACATCGTTGCATGTCACGGCTCCTCCGATGGCAATGAAAGAAAAACACAAAAGTGACTCGATAAGTGGAGGCGCCTGCATTTAATGATTTGCTTATTCTCCGTTCTCTGTTATAGTCTTGTATTGTTGGTAGTTGGTTGCATGTTGTGTTGTTCGTGAATTCGCGGAGAAATGGAGATTATTTTGGGTATCAGACTAACCTTTATAAATTATTCTTCTCTTTTAACAAATCGACTAATTTATCTGACTATATCTATGGACTTGGTTTTGTTATACAATAAACATATACCACCCGGACAATCCTTATTTGATAAAAATATCTCATATGAACATTGCACATTGACTTGGTTTTGTTTAATAGAATAAGTGTGTATTTGATTTTGGTAGCTACTTTAATTCTTAGTCTTCCAAGTTTCATAAACTAATGTGGTTAATGTGGGTTACAAAGTATTTGAAGAAATAAATATAATTAATGTGGTTAATGTGGATTTTGTGGGTAAACCACTGTGGGTACTGGTTAACCACTAACCACAAAAATCAATATTTTACTACCCACACCCAACCCACTATCCACAAATTGTGGGTATGGATATCCACAAAGTGTGCGGTTTGCGGGTTACCCGCAACCTGCAAACCAAACTTCCACCCCTATTATTGACCATTAAATAAGTGAGGTGGCTATTAAAAATTAATAAACAATAATCATTTTAAATTTACACCTATTTTTTACAACTATTAAAAAAAGAAAGCCAAAAGTTTGTTGTTCCCCGCCGTTGAGGAACCCTCCGCTTCTCTTCCGGTAACGAGCGGACCACCGTTTCAGGTCGCCAAGGAGATCCCACTAGTTGCTGTTGACGAATTGTTGTTCAGTACTGGAATCTTAACAAAAACACGAAAAACAGAGAAGAATTAGAGGAATAAATGGCATTGAACGTGGCTCACCATATTGGAGCTCTCGTCAGGGCTCCAATTCGAGCCGAGGTCGCCGTGCCTTCAATCGATTCTGTCGCGGCGATGGTGTGGCCTTCCCCAGCACCAATTAATTGCAAGATCCGGAAGAAAGACGACGGAGAGGAGGTCACAACCGACCAGCCCTGCAAGTCCCCCATCATGGGCAGTGGTGAGAGGCTATATCTATCTGCCGCGTGCCTCGCGTTCGCGACGAAGGCTGCGACACCACCCCTTTCAGGCCACCGGATCTGCCACGATCTCCTCCAGATCTGTCATCATTACCTTCATGTGTTGGCAAAAGGGTCGGGTCTCAAGCGTTGGGGAAAGCCTCGAGGAGAGGTGAACATGCCTTTATGCCTCGACTCCGCCATCCTCCTTGCCGACAGATCTAGAATCTTCCTTCAATCGATTTTGCTGAAGAATCTTTAGGTCGGGATTGCAGAAAATGGGTTTCGAGGTTCTCGGGATAATTACTCTCCCGTAATGCCAATAATGCTCTACAATAATCCAGCCAAAATCCCTGCAATCTCCAGGGAGTGTCTAAGGCAAAAGTAATTGAAATCTTCTAATTCTCAATTGTTTTCGAACATAGGGTCAAAGAAGGAGTCTCACCTGGCGTGGGCTAGATTGGCGCCAAACTACAATGGCCTCGAAGATTTTTCAAACATATTAAATATCACTATGTCCTGGTAGTGACAGTGCTTTTTCAGCAATCCTTGATTTTCCTATAGGTGGTTGGCGACGACGGGTGAAATTTGTTGGAGGAGAGGGGAACGGAGAAGAGGATGGCATTTTCTTTACTGTGGGCTTTTTGTTTTGCTTTTATAAAAAAAGGAATAAATGCTTGATTATCTTTTTGTTTTTTGTCCTCTTCTTTGGACTCGTTCTTACTACAATATCTCAATTGCCGGCCAAATATAACCGGGATCTATGCTTACCCTACTTCATGTTTATGGTTCGTTATCTAGCCAACTTAGGATGGTGATTAGAAGAATAAAACTAACTAACCTAGCTATTTACATGTTCTGGGAGATCTCTTGGATTAAATCCCCCTATTTCCAACCTTTGGATCGATGTTGAATACCATCCTAGATCGATCGACCCACTATCCTACCGTTAGGAGATGAACTCCCTCGGGACGGACCTATAACGGTTAAGTGGTGGATGGGCAAGAGCTCTATTCAACCTAGGGCACCCCCTATATCATAGGGGATCGATCCAATCGACTCCCTCGGGGATCACCCAGGTGATATGGGGTGAGGAGTTGTTTCCCTCCTAGGTCAAAAGCTCGATTGACTCAACTACTCTATCGTTAGGAGATGGACTCCCTCGGGGACCGGACGATATGGGGATAGGAGTGACCCGAAGACGCCAATAATAGGCTCTAAGGGATTTTCTCCCTCCTATGTCAAAGCTCAATACATGAAAATGGAAACCCAACTCATGACATTCATGAAAACATCAATCAATTAAGTAAAATCATCTATCAAATAAGGAATCTGTCACATACATCAACATTAAACCCAAATCTAGACCTAGGGTTCTTAAACCAAGAGAAGAGGGTGAGTTTCTAGAGAGAGAAGAGAGAAATTACAAAGTAGAGCCCAAGATCTTCTTCTTCTTCTAGGCTTGAATCCCTGTCTTCAAGATCAACCCAAGCCTCCAATTAAGCTCCAAGATCACTCAAGCACTCTCTCTCTCTCACACTAGAACTACCCTTTGTTGTTTTGGGTTGAAACCCTAGAGAGAGAATCAAATCCCTCTCCAAAAACCAGCTCACCTCATTTCCTTCAGCTCAAAGCCATTTTATACCCAGATCGGGCTTAGTTCACGATCTTAGACTTCAGTTCACAGTCTTAGGCTTCAGTTCACGGTCGTGTTGATCTGTTCACGGTCTTAGACCGTGAACTGACGACTTCACGGTCTGGGCATACAGTTCAGGGTCTTAGAGACCGTGAGCTGACTTGAAGCCAGTAACTTGCAAAATCGTTCTGGAAATTGGTCACTTCACGGTCTGGGCTTTCAATTCACGGTCATCTAAGACCGTGAACTGAAGCTCCAGACCGTGAACAATGCTCAGCCTCCAGTTTTTGGTTCGTTTTGACCTCCGAATGACCCGAAACTAGTTCTTGACCTTCCCACACGTGGTAGGACCTGAAATGTACCAAAACAAGCACAACCTAGCGTAAAATAGGTCGAGGAACGGTGATCTACTAAGCATAACAAACAAGAAATGAGGGGTAAAATGTTTACATTTGGACCCGAATAACTCCCCCACACTTGAACGTTTGCTTGTCCCCAAGCAAACCAAGTACAAAACAAGGTAAGTTTACAACTTCTTTTTCAACAAAATTTTTGAGGCATGTCGTAGCGAACGAAATGAATGAATCACAATGGTTATTTGACACCGTCCTATGGAAAAAAACAAAGTAATCATGGCAACCACCACAAACGACATTCAACTGTATGAAGATTGTGAAAAGAAGAGTTCTCACATTATTCACGAACCAACACACAACATGCCTCAACGACTCACCAATCATAGTTATTCGTTCATGAAGATCACATCATAGGAACGAACGATCGAGCAACCTAGGTCCTCACCGGGGTATAAGAAATGAACAAAACATGAAGAATGAATCACTCACTCTCGACCAGTGGGGTCAGGACCATTTAATGCAAAAGTTGTGCATATTCACGCTCAATCCTAACGTCCCTTTACCATGATGGTAGCCTCTAAATGCCAGAGCTCACAAGATGGGTGTCGTTGCTAGCTTGTCCATAGGTCTTAGACACAGGTTCAAATGACTAGCAATTGTCTTGGACATGGGGGAAAATGTTTTTTGGGTGGTGGCAAACATAGCATGAGGTCCTACATCTTCAACCTAAAACCAAAGGTTCTATGGTTTCGACTAAGAACCTTTCGTACAATCAATGGCCACTAGCATTGGCCAAAACCACACTTCCCCTCTTTCCAAACCACAACCAATCACCAAACCATGTCACACATACTTTCTTACTACATTTGCTTTTCAATTTTAAGCACAAGAGTGTAGAGGTCAACAACATGTATGTGATCCTATAGCTTGTATGCCAAGAAACACATCTAATAGCATGTTCAACATTTATTATATTTTTGATGGCCACTCTCTTTTCTTCTTTGCCCTTTGATTGATTTTTTTCTTTCTTTTCCCTTTTTCTTGAGGGCAATAGAGAGCTAAAAACATGCCACATTTTTTTAACTTAAGGAACAATGCTCACTTTTATGAAGTATCTCCACACTCACTTCACTTCTTAGCAAAACCATACACAAATCACTCACGTGGAACCTCGTTTAAGCTCAAAAGGTATGAATGGAGCTACCAAACACAAGGGTGACTCGATATGGTGTAGACAAGAATAAAGTAGGGTCGCTCTATCTAAATCAATCAAGCTCAAGTAGCGAGAGCTACCTAACACAATAATGACTCTTAGACACATGACTTAAAAGGGTTGACTAGGGGATAATGCAACCGGGACAAGTCAAATTTTGGGTTGTGGACTAAACTTATGCCTTCATCTTCCATGCTAGCAACAACGTGAATGCTACACATAATGAAAAGGGGGATCTATCGCACAAGAACGAAAAGAACGACATAAGTATCACATGGCTACCTAGGTGCTCAATCATTCATTCCAACTACAACATCCCAATCGCCGGCCAAGTATGATCGATGACCGGGTGTAGCATAGGGGAAACAAGCAAGAAAATTTATCGTACCATGGGAATGTAGGCTTACCCTACTTCAGGTTTAGGGTTTGTTATCTAACCAACCTAGGATGGTGATTAGAAGAATTAAACTAACTAACCTAGCTAACCACTACCTAGCTATTGACAAGTTTTGGGAACTCTCTTGGGTTAAACCCCCTATTTCTGACCTTTGGATCGATGTTGAGTACCATCCTAACTCGATCGACCCACTAACCTACCATTAAGAGATGAAGTCCTTCGGGACGGACCCGAAACTATGAAGTGGTGGATGGGTAGGAGCTCTATTCAACCTAGGGCACCCCTATATCATAGGAGATCGATCCAATCGACTCACTCGGGGATCACATAGAAAATTTGGGGCGAGGGGTTGTTTCCCTCCTAGTTCAAAAGCTCGATTGACTCAATCACTCTACTGTTAGGAGATGGACTCTCTCGGGAATGACCCAGAATGGTGAATCGATGAATGTGGTAGGCTCTATTCAACCCTAGGGCAACCCTATATCGTAGTAGATTGATGGAATCGACTCCCTCGAGGATTACCCGAATGATATGGGTTGAGGAGTGACCCAAAGATACCAATAATGGGCTCTAAGGGGATTTTCTCCCTCCTAGATCAAAGCTCAATATATGAAAAAGGAAACCCAACTCATGTCATTCATGAAAACATCCATCAGTTAAGTAAAATCATCAATCAAACAAGAAATGTGTCACATACATCATCAACATTAAACCCAAATCTAGACCTAGGGTTCTTAAACCAAGAGAAGAGGGTGAGTTTCTAGAGAGAGAAGAGAGAAATTACAAATTGGAGCCCAAGATCTTCTTCTTCTTCTAGGCTTGAATCCCTATCTTCAAGATCAACCCAATCTTCCAATTAAGCTCCAAGATCACTCAATCACTCTCTCTCTCTCTCTCTCTCTCTCTCACTAGAACTACCCTTTGGTGTTTTGGGTTGAAACCCTAGAGAGAGAATCAAATCCCTCTCCAGAAACCAGCTCCCCTCATTTCCTTCAGCTCAAAGCCCTTCTAATACCCAGATCAGGCTCAGTTCATGGTCTTAGGCTTCAGTTCACGGTCGCATTGATCACTTAGCGGTCATAGACCGTGAACTGACGACTTCACAGTCTGGGCATTCAGTTCACGGTCATAGAGACCGTGAACTGACTTGAAGCCACTAACTTGAAAAACTGTTCTGGAAATTGGTCAATTCACGGTCTGGGCATTCAATTCACGGTCTTAGATGACTATGAACTGAAGCTCCAGCCCGTGAACAGTGCTCAGCCTCCACTTTGGCTTGTTTTGACCTCCGAATGACCAGAAACGCGTCATGGACCTTCCCACACGTGCTAGGACCTAAAATGTACCAAAACAAGCACAACCTATCATAAAATAGGTCGATCGACGATGATCTACTAAGCATAACGAACAAAAATGAGGGGTAAAATGTGTACATTTGGACCCGAATCACCTTCGTAGATTACGACCAACTGAACCTCGTTCAATCCCTCTTTAGTCAAGCTCCTCTTCTCCTTTGCCGTAGTCATCAGATCCGGGGATGATCTGTCGTCCAAACCCCCAATAGAAAAGCCCAGTACTGGTGAAATCCAACAAGATGCGGAAATTTATTTGTTCACAAAAATCGCAACCAGAAAATACAATCGACCAACCTGAAATTGCAATAAGATGGCAGAATTTGCTCAATCCCGAACCAGCGAATCAATTGATGAAAGGAGATGAGTGACTATTGAAGATTGATTTTTTTTACAGATCTAAGAAGCTTTAGGAGGATCGATTCGAGAAGGATTAGGATAGTGACACGAATGCTAATAAAAGGTGGCTATTGGATTTGGGATTAGAAGCTAGGGATTTGGGTTTGGAATTAAAAGCGAGAGGTTGGGTCGACATAGATGGGTTCATCGGAGAAGAGGAGATAGATGATGAAAGAGGAACTGGGATTCTAGTCGTTAGGCTCCGGTCAAGATGAAGCAGAGTGGCCGGAGTAGCATCTTGGTCGGGTGGTAACTGGAGGCAGAGTGGGAGGAGTAGCATACCATAATTGTTGTTTCTCTAATTAGAGGGACCACTTCGGGCCACTTTTCGTCAT